CATTGTCTGTTATTCGCACCAGGACCCACACGCGCGCAGTGAAACACACTATTTAGCTCGTCCGGACGCCCCACTCTTCTTCATTTTTCTGGTTTCTTTCTCGTCCAGCCCCCTTTCTAACGGTTTTTCGAAGCCTTTTTCACATAGGAAACACCGATGCACGCAGTTTCTTCACCTCAGTCGCACTAGTTTCGATCTTGTCTTCCATTTTTCATCATAATCTGGATTACCCAAAATTATCGTGAACTGTGCCTTTAATGGAAAGTCACTTGCTTTCTATTATGAAGGAGCTCAAAGGCAAATAGTTCATGTGACCCTCGGGAAAGGTAAATGTCAAATTTAGTGAGATAGGCAGCAACGACAGTACAAAAACAGAAGCAAAACATTCTGAGTGAATCGAAATATGAGTGCGGGATGTGGTGTAGCGACAACCGGTGCGCAATCCTATACGCAAAGCCTCGGCAACAAATCCCGGCTCCTATGTGCATGTTCGCCTACGTCATCCAAGCCCCCCGTCAGCCAAGGTTCGGTCAATCGATGCCAGAATCGCCAAGGAGTATAAAAGCACCGATCTGTGTATCGGCTAGCTTATGCAAATCTTTTTATTGGCCACACACACCACTACGATTTTGAATGGAAGTAGAATTCAGGGAGCACCCTAAAACGGGGTTGACTAGTGCCGGAAATGTCCTTTTTCCCTGAATCAAAATGTGTAACATAAGCCACTACCACGCCTAAGGTCTGACCAGTAACTTTACAATGATATCTTCCAGCTGAATTCATTTTATACTAGTCAAGTTGAGTTTGGTTCTGACAATGAGTTGAAGTCGATAGCATGAGAGCATACCAAAACGGAAACCTCAAAAATTGCTGCAAAATTTGTTTGATTTTTGGAGCCCTTAACATCGCGAAGCGCTCTGGAACCGTAGTAGCTCAGGCTTCTAATCGGCAAGAAGGACAAATCATGCCTTCGATCGGCCAGTCTTTTCGGTCTATTCAGCGCCCGCTATTGGGGTTCTTTCATGTTATAAAAATGGGTCAGAAGGCAACTCATGAACTTTAAGGTCAGTTTATTGCCTCTCATTCAATGGTACTGGAGAGTTATTGGCAACTGGATCCAACGACAAGACACTACGGCTAATGGCCTTCAATTCCGATACCTGTAAAATCGGTAAGGCTTTTACTCTTAGCATAGGAGTCACATGGTGTCGTGATCAGCTATTTTATGAAAACTTTAATGTCATCAGTGGCAGTGGGAGTTGTAATACTTTAAAGTTGCGATGTCCTGCAGCTCAAGACAATGTCGCTCTTATGGCCACTTTCCAATGGCTTCATAATAATCTTATTTTTTTTTGTATGCGGACTACTGTACTATTCCCGTTTTATGGCCCGTGTATGGAATTGAGGCCAGCTAGCCATTAAAAAGTTTGCTCATGTCCTCGCTAATATTTGATGACCTGTCATATTGCTGCATGGTGACCAGAAAGGATGGAACGAAGCTTCGGAGTCTCGGCTTTTGGTTATACTGGGTGACCCACATGAAGTGTGACGGGCAATAAAAAAATAAACTTATGGGCTTCTGGGCTGGAGGATGCGGTGATCCCTTGGGCGGAAATGAACNCGATGAACGTCAGCTAAACCTTTTCCAAGATTGGGCACCAGCCCACAGCGCAAAGAAGATGCTGCATTGTTGTGAAACCACACTTCCAGGTTTTTGAGGCGGAGCAGGTTTGACCTTCGAATACCCCGATTTCAATCCTGTGGATTTTGCCGTATCAATGATTCTGGAGCAAAAAGCCTCCTCTTTCGACGCAGGTCTTTAGACCTTGTGAAAAAAAGCTCTCTTGTAAGAGCGAAAACTTCCGAAAGAGGTTGAATGCCTGCATTAAAGCGAAGTATGGTCATCCTGCATGCGAAATGTGATATGTTGTTTACAATTTTGTGATGATTGCATGGGAGTAAATGTTTCCTATTTGGCTTGATTTGGATAATTTTGATGCTAGTTTTCTGTGTCACACTTCATGTGGGTAACCCTGTAATGGTCTTGGCCTTAAACCTTTATTAATTCCTGGAAGAGGCTGGGTAGTGGCAAACGATGTACTATCGCACACTCATATATGCATACATACACATATACACCTACACCCGCAGATAGACACACATACACATACACATGTACATACACATGCACACACACCGACACACAGATACCGACGAGCACATACAGATCACACTTCTTTCGGGATCGCGTAATTGGTATCAGCCTTGTCTGGACGTAAAGAAGCGTGGGCATGTACTATCAGCCCCATTCGCATTCAAAACGCTACTGGAGTTCTAAATGAAACCTGAAGCGCGGGCTCATTCCAAAAACGGGACTGATTATTAAGCATGATCCTTTGAATTGAGTTTTAATCAAAATATGTTGACAACCCGCTACCACGCGTTTGCTCTGACCACCAACTCTGGAACAATGCCTACTTACTGGCACATCAAGCCTTCCTTTACTTTCCACAAGCGAAATATTCAGGCAACGCCTGCTGGTATCTGATCATCATCAAGGAAACAATGTTTTAGCTCCTTTTCTTTTTCTAATCATTTTTCTCCAATCGAATCCATCAGTTTCTCAGGCGCTGAGATGGAATTTGGCTTCCATGACGGCACAATTAGGGATGTGATCTTTTTGGAAGATTCTGTGAGCAGGTGAAAATCATCAGCAGCCTTATCGATCTCTTTTTTTTACTTTTTAATATTCTGTATTTAATTTCAGGACATCGTTGCTGGTGAGCGGTGGTGCAGGCAACTGTCATTTGCATGTGACGGACTGCCATTCTGGTCAGATGGTGCAGACGCTGCGAGGTCACAATGGTGGGTTCTTTCTATTCGCAAAGAGATAGGACGAGCATGAGCAGTAAGGATGAGAACACTTAAAAAATTTTGCTGTAAAAATTCAATATAAGTTGATTCTTCATTTATGATGACACCCAATCTGGAAAGGAAGATTGACAGCAGAATACTTCAGGGAAAGAGTGGTACCTCTTGAAGGTTTCAGTTTTCGTAGCCAGGATTGATGACATCAGTAGAGTTTTTCACCAGAACATACAACATCTCCATATGTCATTGGCTGCATTCATAGTCCACGACCATTCGCGCGACTGATCGCTCGCAAAATCGTGGACTATGAAAGATTCCATTGATCCGCGCGTTCCCTTGAACATCCGAAAGGTGCAATCACAGGGGAAAGGGTCTTATATTAATCCACAGCTGAGGTCTTAAGTGTATGTTTCGAATATGATTTCCTCTCCCTAATATAGCCATCTTTTTGATATCCTTGATTACGCATTGATTTTAGAGAAAAACCGGGAAGAATTACTCGAAGAGGTTCCCGAAAAGTGATCCTACTTGTAGGCCTGAAGGCACAGTTCGCGATGATTTTGGGGTATCTTTGAAGACGAATAATGGAAGTGGTAGTCTAGATTAGTGCAAAACTGGCAGAAAAGAGCGAAAATAGGCATATTCAGAAGAACACTCAAAAAGCCGCAAACTTAAGTGTAGGACGAGAATGTGACGACTAAAGGTATAGTGAAGGGGTACTCGGTCGAACTGTTCATATGTGGTGTCAATGCTCTCAGCTGGCTTTAGCTGCCTGCGTGCAAGGTGTGCGTCCCTATGTGAATGGCGCGAATATATACAGCCTTCAAAACACCTAAAACTCGTCCGCCTTGGTTTGTACGTCGACTAAGCTGGTTTTGTGGCCTCTGCTACGGTTTACTTAGGCCGTTTGTCGACCCGACAACGTCCCTAGTGCTATCTATGAGGGTCAAAGGCTCATTATAGGGAGAACCCTCACAAACCGTTTCTATTGTGAACTGCGCTTTTTATATTTCGATACGCTGAGCAGAAGATCTGATATTTATCTCACTTCAGCAGCTCATTTCAGCACCAATTCTCGGACTATTTATCTGGAACAATGGTCCGATGTTTGTGTCGTGCTCCCAGGATAAGACGATTCGTTTTTGGGATGTACGAAGTTCGCAAGCGGTGAATGTGATCCAACCAACCAACAAAGCACACAGTAATTTATTTATCTAATGCAACATTAGCACAAGCTCCATAGCGTCAATCGAAACTACTATCTCGTTAAGGTGCACCAGTAACATCGGTCTGTGTCGATCCGTCAGGACAACTACTCGTTTCCGGTCATGAGGATGCGTCGGTCGCCCTCTATGACATCACGGGAGGAAGGGTGCTTCAGACTTACAGGTATTCGCTCCATTAGCTAGCAATAAAGGATAAAAGGATAAAGTTTTCGGCGTTAGTCAATCCCGTCTGAAGGATGCGCCCCCGCTCTCGACTTCCATTCAAAATCGTAGTGGCGTAATGAGTGCGTATGTGGTGGCAGTGGCCAGCCGATGTACAAGTCAGTGCTTTTATCCTCCCAGACAAGTCTGGTACCAATTCACCGACCCCGGAGGGATGGAGGGCTTGGTTGGCCTAGGCGGATATCGATCCGGGATTCGAACCCCTGACCGTGCGTGTGATATAGTGTGCCACATGCCACTACAACACCTCCGCCCTTAGCTAGCAAGAATAATTGTGGTAGAAAAGCCTTTTTAAATGGCTACTGATGAAACTTAGCCCGTAGAAGGTTTAAAGAACGTGTAGGGCAACTTCATATGAGTAAATATTCTGATTCAGGCCACATGGAGATGAAGTGCGAACTGTGCGGTTCAGCAACGCTGCTTACTATCTTCTTTCAGCCAGCTACGACAAGAGGTAACTACATATATACTAGGGATTATATGTAATTATAGTGCGAGCTACAACTTTCTGTTGAGCGCTTCAGCCACTATGAGCCAAGTTGTGTACCTTGTGTTCGGCATATTTTTGAAACCCCTCTAATCTGATTCCAGAACACAGAAACTAAAAAAATTGGCGCGAGAGAGGGTTATGTGGTTTCCGAGGAGTTGATAGGTTTTACGAAAGCGCTTCGAACTGGTAGGGCTGACTGATTGGCGGAAAAACCGTTGCATGCGCAAGGAGACGATGGCTTCAGAGGAAGGAGTAATTTGTTCAAGCCTGCAACATTAGATCGGGAAGTTAGCATTGTGGTCAAGTAGGAGTTGTATAGGAAAAGCATGCACGAAGTTCTTCACGTTCACGTCGTTGTTCCTGGATAGCCCGCTTGTTCGCTAGTGTAATACACTTTTGAGAAAGCCATCATATAAGTCGGTCCCCATTGAGGACAAAATGCCATTGAAGTAAAAGAATATGAGGAAACAAGGAGAAGTAGATCGATCAGAGTAGCAATTTCCAATAATTTTATGTTTCATGCGACATATAAAAAGCGAACGTGTTAACGCAACCTATTGACTTTTGTTTGCTGTTTAACTGTGCGAATGCGCAATTACGAGAGTTTTTAGTCCATTCTTCACTCCCAGAAAAACAAATATTCGTCTCATGCCTAGTAAGGAAACGCCTAATTCTGAGTTTTCAATTAAGTATAGGTCAGAAAGGCAGCGGTCCCCGCAAAGGTTTGTTTTACACAGGGCTCTGCCTCGCTTGTCGATTTATGTCTTTCTTTTGATAGGAGGAATTCTTAAAGATAACTGTCTTAAAGGCACAGTTCACGATAAAAATGGTTTCTGAGATTTCCCTAAGCGATGTGTTAGAGGCTCCTCCTGATACCATGTGCATCGAGTCAGTTCGAGAAATGCTCTGGATAGGGCACAAAAATGGGCCAGAAATTGTATCATGTGATGTCACCACCCTGTAGCGGACGAATCTAGATGGCGTTTAGAGGTTGCAGCATCTCAAGGGGCTCCCATGTCTGAGGTCCAAACAATTTGTTATGGCCCATGGCGACGGTGGAAGGCATTTATAGACAATTTTGACTTGATGTATGTAGTCAGCTATTTGTGCAACTGTAGCAATTGAAATCTCGTCCGAATACCCCTTCCATGCCATTTTCGTCATGATAATCTCGTACGCAATCTCCACCACTTATAAAAAGCGTTATTTTTCGCTATATACGCGGATTTAGTCGCTTTCTTCGCCACCTATGCGCTGCTCTACATCGATACTTCCTCTTTACAACTTAAAATGGGTAACTCAAAGTTATCGTGAACTATGCATTTAAGTAAGGCACGTTTGGTATTGGTATCAACTAGTTTTGACTGTAACCTGCGCTTCTTACTGTGTCGGTTGCCTACCGCCTTTCCTACAAATATTCTAACTATAGCATAAAAGCAGTGTAAAATTTGAAGCTCTTAAAAAAATAGTTCTATCACCATCGAAAAATATTTGCATAAAATAGATGGTTAGAGCTTCAAAAAAGCATTTTTAGGGTCGTTATAACGGACATGCGAGGCGACTTGATGGCTCCTCTTATTTACTTACCAGTGGCCGAACACTCCGACAAAGTGATCCAGTGTCGGTATGTGCATAATTCTCTAGTATCGTCGAAACTTTTCTTTACACATATGTATCTCCATTAGTTCCTGACTTTGATTCCCATTTCGTTTTCGACTCACGTCTAGAATAGCGGAACTTTGGATAAGTGGCTTCACACTGACTTGGGAGCAATCGCCCTACAAGTTCTCACGAAATTTTTTAGTCACTTCACAACCAGTCAATCACGAGCCAAAATTCGATCTTCTATTACATGATACAATTACATGCAAAATGCCTACTCATTACTTTTGAACCATCCTGTACTCCACTGTCACAATCTTCAGTGTTTGTTCTGGATGTTCGTCGGGAAAAGCTCTTTACTATTTGAAGAGGATTGTTTTGATGCAAAGCTGTTTTCTCTACTGGAAGGATTCGCGAAGATTGCCTACTACATTTCAGATGGCACCCGTTTGACTTCTCATTCTTGTCAACCAGCGCGGATCGGAGTGCAGTTTTATGGGCATTACCCCCGCCTCCACGATTTTGAAAAGGCGTTCTCTACTGTTCGCGGAGCTGTTGATGATTACCAATTTGACCTGGACTACTCAATTCTCGAAAGGACTGGTTCTTCTAAATGTTACTGGTCTACCATTCATAACGTTGTTTTTCAAGCAGACATTGTTTTAAAGGGACTTTGAAAAGAGTTCGTTTCAACAAGTCGAACGCCCTCCTTGCTCTTAACTTTTTCACTATCTTCTCTGATCACGGTTTTCTAAAGCAGCTTGCAATCAAAGTTTGAGTACAACTGAAAGCCTTGAGAGTGGAATCATTGGCATACAGTGGGGCGACTTCGCTTTAATCCATCTCATCCAGAATTTTCAAAAATCGAATAACTGCAATTGTGGCTGCTCGATTTTTGTAACTGCCAAAATGAGAGCAGGCACTATGAAGGCACCAGGTATATCATCCAAAATGATAAAACTGGAGCCTTTGTTATTAAATTGAAAAAACCAGGTATTGAATGGCTACTTTCATAGTCCGCGTGCCGGCCGGCCGGCCGGCGTGCCGGCGTGCGTGCCGGCGAAACAAAAGAGTGAGCCCAAGTAAAAGGACGATAGAGCGTCTATAAACCGACGAGGGAACTGTTTTTCTGTCAGAGCGAAAAATTCGAGCACATGATTGTTGAACTGCGCCAATCGGCAGTGTTTTGTTCGAGGGTTCTTTCATAAATACAAAATCAAAACAGGTCTTTCGCAATGTGGCTGCTACTTTTGTCATCAGAATACCATTAACCCTTTTTCAATCAGCAACGAGGCTTTCTATCTGTTTGGTATGAATACTTCCACTACTCCCATGTTCCCCAAAAGGGCGTCAAGAAACATTAGAATTGCCAATTTTTTTTTGGTGAATAATGCAGGTTATAAACAGTAATGCTATCATAAGACAAGACGCATTGGATAGGATTTTTGTCCCATCAAGTTTTGTTCATGTTCCAGCACAATGTACCCTGTGCTAGATCAAGAAATGTTTCAGTTTTTATTCCAAATTTTACATTACAAAACGATCCATATTGCCAAGAGGAGCCGTTATACCCCTGCCCCCAGCTCCTGGTCTTCAATTCTTTCTACTATTTGACTCTGGCATTTCATGAACTACGAAACTTACTTGGTTTTAAACTGCTCTATTAGCCTATATTTTTATTCTCTTTTGCATTTACAGAACAAGCTTACTGTGTCGTCGTTTGCCTTTCATTTTCAGGTCTTCTGATTTCGCTAGTCGGTTGTGGTTTTATGATGATTGTACGAGCTATGTGTACTTTGCATTACAACGTGTGTTGTTTTTATGTAAAAGCCATTTTTTCCCAAATTTTTGCTCTCTTTGGAATCTCGGTTTTGTATCCTTGTACTATGGGTATAAGTGTAATTTTGATTTGCAAATGCATGTAAATCCTTTCATTATTATTGAAATGTAGTAGAGGCGGCTCTGAAAAAGTTTAGAAACAATGAACTTTGCTATAAACTGAGAATCTACCCTAAAGAAGCTGTCAGATTTGGGTCGGCATGCATGGGGAACAGGTGGGTCCGGTATGTTCTCCCCGCAAACGGCGTCGCGTTCGCCGCACCCGATCACGCGCGGTCGCGCGCTTGGAGGAAAAGGTTTGAATTCCCAGTACAATGATGAGGTAGCTGCCGCGTGACCTCTGCCGCTCGCCGTGGGAATTCGGGGGGAAGTTCCGACAACCGAGCAGTAGGCCAAGGATGCGGAAGCAGCGGAAAGCCGCTCACGCTAGGAGTAGAGAAGGGGAAAGGGAAAATTCATTAGGGGACTTTCTTCTGGAATTCATAGTAACATGGAGGTTTCGAGGTGGTAACCGATACCAATGAAGTGAGCAAAGGTACTTTCATTACAAAAATCGTTTACGAGTAGGGATTGAACTTGCGTCGGTTAATATTTCCGATTACAGAATATTTTGAAGTCGTTAAAAATGTTGGCAACACTTCCTGGCAAATTTCATAGGAAGACGACAAATGTTCTACTAACGAAAGCGGCAATCATAAGGACTGCTGAACCCTGTAGGAGTTCGTAATTTTGCTCTGTCCGTCACAAACAACTTGGGATGTTTTCGGCGTAGGGAAGAGGTTCAAGCTGACATTCTGAGTAAGCATCCCAATGCAGAATAATGAGTTCATGCAAATGAGAAAGTCTTCTCTGGCCAGGCATGTTTCAAAAACCAGTCATCTGGTGTTGCGGCTGCCAAAGATACTTTTTGACAGGTAGTAGGGCAGAAAATGTACCTCCTTAGCGCCCTTCAGCAGTTACGAGACCATTATAGAAAAAAAATCGGTGTAGTTTAATTTGAAATGGGCCCGACAATGCAGGAAAACCGTCACATAGGTACTTTCATCGAATACTTCACCGAATACCTCGGTGCATACATATGCTGTTGCAGAAAAAAAGGCAGAAATTGCCTAGGTAATTTTTGTAATTAGGTTTGTGATTCGAGTAAATGGCCCAAGATGCTTCTGCCTGACCGAAGGGGGACTTGAAAACGAGGTAATGAGCGTCCTCTGCAAAGGTATGGTGAACGAACCAAAATTGACAAAACAATTCTACCCAAGGGTGAAGGGGGTTGGCGGAAAGGGTCAATGGCATCATAGTCAGAATACACAAAAACAAGGTTTCGGTAGTTGTGGAAGCGAAGAAGACCCTTACGAGGACAAAGCGAGGAGCGAAAGCTTCTATTTTTTAGAGGACGGATATGATCCATTATACCTTTCGACGTCTATTCCTTCTGACCATCTATCGCCCAACGTCCTGGACTACGGAAAATACAAAACGTATCTGGTTTGCGGACTGGAATTAAAAATAGAGCGTATTAATGAAAATGCCAAGAAATATCGCGATAAGATGAAGTTAGCTTACGGAAAAAAGCTTAAGACGGCCAAATCCATCGCATTCAAGACTGAGGATAACGTGTACAGTTCTTTGAGGAGAAAAGAAAGTCGCGACAACATAAATTAGATAGAGACTGGTCTTATCCCTCCACATCAATCGAAACAACTGCTAGATCCACATTAGTCACTTTGATTGGAAAAATAGGGACCCCGTTTAGGTTAAATTTGATTATTTAATCAAAGTCCCTGAAGAAGTGGGGTCACGGCATGCGCTACTCAAGGTAGAAAGAAAACCGTTCAGAGATGAATGAACTTCTGTCCATGACCAGCTCGGGTCAGCTCCAAGTTCTCTTAGTCGAACGTGAAAGATGCCACTTTTCAATCCATCGGTGAGATCGAAGTCAGTGGTCAATTACGGCATGCGCAATAGGAGTAGCAATCAGTACCAAGCTGCAGGTACATTTGAAATATACGATCTTATTACCACGTCATCCTTAGGATCTGCCATGGCCTTTTATCTCAGTAAATGCCTTCATACCTTCCTTCCAAGTGCTGCTCATGCCCAATGCCCATCTTGCCAATTTTCTACCGTGGAGCAATACATATCTGCATAATCTTCTTAATCTGCCTCAATTACGAAGAGGCGGCAAAATCTGTTGACGCGCCGGAGAACATTCTACCCGAAGGGTTTGCGGAGCAGTGGTTTGCCCTCGAGCTGGTCAAGTCTAAACAATCACCGCAGGATGACAAGTGCCGGACAAAACGACTGGTCGACATGCTCCGCTGTCTCGCTGAAGAATTTGTTGCACAGCGACCCAGCCTCAAAAACCGATTGCGGTGATTCCTGCTCACGAATCGCACGGCAACATCCGAGCTACTCAGTGGCGAGGGCGTCTAACAACTAATGAGAGCAGGAAATCTTCACTTGGTCCCTGAATTTTCCAAGTGACGCAGCGTAACGTTGCACATTAGTTTGTGCTGAAAGATATGATTGATAAGAGATCGCAGATAACTGATCACTCGAATCCGCAAGACCTGCTTGGAAGGGAACTCCACTTTTCCTCTGCCTTCGAAAATTTTTGGAAAACTATTTGCTTCGAAAAGATAGCTGGAATGTCAAGGGTACGTTCCTACTTCCCGAAAGGAAGAAAAGGAGCCCGGGTGATCTTATAACTGAAATGATCAAAGTGGAAGTGCGATACACAAAAACTGTTGCTGTCTTACGTTCGATTTCTCGCACAACTTTTTTGTCTAAACTAGTGCCTAATGCAGGGAGATTCAAGGGAGATCTGCCTCCTTGCATAACAGAAAGGCACTGTTCCCAAGACTGCATGCACAATGGTAGCGTCCGAAGTTGTAGCAGATCCCAAGGGGAAGGGGTCTCATGGTGAAGGAAGATGCTCTCCATAGTATCAGCTACCCTGGGCTGGTCCAGGAATGTGATTTAAAGATTCTGTCAGCGGCCGCTCCCTCCTAGCGGCTTTCCTAACTTGATGACATAGATTTGATTTTTGCATGGACACAAGGCCGAAAAGAAGGGTGAAGAACTCCCCAACTTGATGAATCATGTAAGAGTCATTCCGGGGTCCTCGGCACTACAACGTTTTCCAAGTTTCTCCTGCCCTGCTGACTGCTTTTCAAAATTGCATCAGAAAATCAGTTTTCGGCACATTCAGTGTCTTTGTGTGCTTAGTGCCTCTTTCATACTCAAATATTTTTTTGAGACTACACCAATTTTTAATCACTCTGGGCGAACTGTCATATACACTTGGTCCGTGGGTTTCGCCTAGGCAAATGAGGCTCTCCATCATTTTGAGGTCGGTTGATTGATGGCAGAGTCATGTGGAAGAGTAGAGTCACTGACGCATTTCAGTGTGTAGGCCACACACGCGTTCATTCCGTCACAACGATTCTGAATGAAAGTAGAATGCGGGGCTTATCACAAACACACAAAATGTGATTGAATGGCGTCATAGAATTTATGCTTTATCCTTCACTAGTCGGTTCGCCAAGCTGACGCCGGGCTTCCCTTCTCCGTTGACAAAGTTGTAGTTATCAATTGACTCTGCACTCCTTCTTTGGAACAAATAATATTTTCCTGTACACAAAGCTTGGCACTAGACCCGCTGGGCTGTGCAGATGGTATTCAGTG